TGGTTATCGCCACTGATTTGATTATTCTCTGATTTGACGCTCCAGGCTATTTTATTGCATCACTTGATTGCGTATTGAATCTTCCTTGTTTCGTAGGATCCTTCTGCTATGGTTATTGATCACACAGGCTATGCAGTTTCTGAAACAGAAGGAGATCATACTTTGATTGCCTCTGATGATTTTATTAAGTCTGATGTTATTTTAGGAAGTAAGAAAATTACCGTAAGTTTTAATGCCTGCACTTTCAATCTTACTCCCCTCAGTAGGGTATCTATGGTTTTCCAAGCATTAATCTACTAATTTCATTTTCAGGCTGTTTCAATCATGATAAAATGGTACATTCAAGTTCCTTTTGATGCTGTTATTTGTAAAGACTTTTATACTGAATTGATGTTCGGGAACTGCTTGCCTACTTACGACTTTCAGTTATTTGTTTGATATATATATATATATATATATATATATATATATATATATATTATTAGCTTACATTTAATTATGATATACTGTATGAAGCTCATTGTATATTATGCAGCGGTTGTGATTACAGACTTACAGTGAGAATAGTTCTAATAATTTTTGCCACAGGCTCCTGTACTATTCCGGGGGATTGGTCATTCACTGAATCCTGTCAATAGCTTGGTAAGCTGCTTGTATCTGGTTAAAGATTTTTTTTAAATAATCAATTTATTATCGACTGCAGCTTTCTTTTTCTGTCACCTTAACTTTGGCACTATGTTTAGGTGTTAAAGGTTCTCTCAGCTTCTACATCTGCCTATTCGGCTAATCCCAAGTCCAAGCTGTCAACTCCACCATCATTTACGGGTTCTGCAATCTCCTTAGTCTCAGTTATCCAGGTAGTTAGTGATAACTGTTTATATATCTTCTGCACATCTGGATCATGAATCTCTATCCTTTCCATCTTAATTTAAGATAGTTTTGCATTAAATACAAGAAGCTTATTTTGCCGCGACTCCTAGTATAGCAAGCTGTTCAAATGGGTTATGATTTTTTATTTCCTTTTGTAGGCAAGGAACAATGCACGAATCCTGATTTGTGGTTCGCTGAGTATGTTCAGCAACCATTATGTGATATATTAACTTTTTTAACCGAGTTTCCTTGATGAATTTGTTTCCTTTTGGTTTTGAACTTTATAACATGTTATGTTTCTTGATGAATTCTTAAAATATCTTCAGGTTTTTTAAATATGGCATGCAGAAGGCCGGGAGCTCCACCAAGTGAGTGAATCTGTAACTCTTTAGACTACCCTTTCAACATAAGACCTGGGACTTGTTAAACAAGTCTGCAGCAATTGATTCTCAATAAATAGAATGAAACAGCTAAAACAGGATTTTAGGCCCTGAAACCATCATAAGAAAGTCCATGTTTAACCTTTGTCTTTTATATGTATCTTCTTATTCTTTGAGGACGGAACCAGTTGCATTTACAGTTTATGATTAATTTTATGCCTTTGTACTTTTATTTAAGTGCATACTAGTTGTTTATCTAACGTTCTTATGAGAAATGTTCTTTCTGATGGCAGACATGAGAAATCTGGTAATGAACAATTTTTGACCGAAATTAGCAAATGGGTTTTCCATGAAAGAGGTCATCTTAAGGTAGGCATATTGATAAATTTTATTATGATTCTTGTTCATAACCTAATTTTTGACGTCTGCTTCCTTTTTCTTCATGTGTATGTATGGTGCTGAACTGCTGATTGAACTCCTTTTTTGATTGTTAGGCTGTTAGTGTAAAACACCACAAAGTTGGAGAAACAGATGAACCTGCTTTGTACAGGATTAATGATGAGTTGGTAATTCTTCCACCTTTTATATTTTTTTAATGCAAATACCATTTTGCAGAAATATACCTGAAATGAAATGGGTGTGTTTCATGAAGGTATACTCTGTTGAGATCTATGAGTGGTCCGGGAAAAGCTGGGACCCATATGTTGCTGACGATGTCCAAGTCCAGTTTTACATGATGAGCCCCTATGTTTTGAAAACTTTATCAAATGACCAGAAGGTTTGTTATTTGTCTCTTGAGCTTATATGGTTTGTGATATCAGATTGCTTTTAATATGAAGTCATCTAATAAAACCAATGATCCATTCTTGTATTGCAGGGTCTCTATTCGACATCATTTAGGGTCCCCGATGTTTATGGTGTTTTCCAGTTTAAGGTTGATTACCAAAAGCTTGGATATACAAGCTTATCTCTTGCAAAGCAGGTATTTTGTTTCTCATGATTCTGAATACAATTTCCCTCTTGAGACCTAATTCTCTTACTGGTTTATCTGATTTTTTTAGTTTAGTTTTTTGGAAGCATCCTGTAATAGAAGTTGTTCACAAAAGAACTGTATAGGAGAGTGACTGATATTGATCAATGTGTAGTTATTTTTATCTAACACATAATGTTTTTGTAATTGCTTTTTGGGTTTATTACATCTCATGGAGTTTTTATTTTCCGAATGCATTTTGGATTTTCATGTTGAAATTACGAAAACATTGAATTGCATTGCAGATTCCAGTCAGGCCATATAGACACAATGAATATGAAAGATTCATACCAACTGCTTATCCCTACTATGGTGCTGCATTTTCTACGGTATGATTCCCCATGCTCTCCTTTCTATCTTCTATGTTAGCCAGACTCAAAACTGAGTATAAGAATATGGATATTTGTTTGGTCATATATGGTCAATTTTTTTGACTTTCTTACATAAATTTGGAGGATCGTACTTCTATATAACATCTGAAAGTGTGTTGAATTTGAGTGTCGAACATGAGTATGTATCATATGACTTTTAAGAGTTATAAGCTGCACCATTCATCTAGTTAAGGTTTTACAGGAGTAACCCTTTGAAAGAATTGGCAAAGGGTCTCGTCTGAGCTAATTAAGCAAGATAACGTTGTGCCATAATTACCCGAACAACACCATAATGTAAATCCCTAGGGTGTTGGTATTAACTTTGGATATGATGGGGTTTTTTTTTTGATGCAGATGGCAGGATTCTTCATCTTCTCTTTTGTCCATCTATTCAACAAGTAGATTTTAGCATCCCCCACCATGCTTTACCTGGTACTGTTGAATTACAATGTTGTAGCCAACACGGGTTGCCACAAATGTTTTCGTAGATTGATAATGTAGACTTTGGGCTTTAGTTTCAATGGAATAACAACAGATTTGATGCATTATGATGTTGAGTGGTCTTTAGATAAAGTGCCTTTGCAGGTTTCTACTTTCATTTTCAGTTATCATAACGAAAAACGTAACAAAAATTCCACACACAATGCGTGTGTGTGTATGTATATCCAAGAAATATATAAATGGCTGAGTTTGTATTTGATTGGACCCCAATTAGGGCCGTAAATGAGAAAGACAGATCGCGAGCTATTTGAGATCGACTCGTTCAAGGCTCGATAAATACTCTGATCGAATAGAATCGACTCGAGTTCTTAACGAGTCGAAACGAGCTACTCGATATTCGACTCGAAAAGCTCGTGAGCAGTTCGAAAATATAATTTATTAAGATTTTTTTTAAAAAAAAAATAAATTATTAATAATATTAATATTTATGTATTAAGTTTTTTTAAAAATACAGTAAGATTTCATGTATTTAAGTTTTATATTCGAGTTTGAGTTTGAGGCTTCAATCGAGTTAAGTTTAAGAATTTTTTTCTTTATTTCGAGTTTTTTCGAGATGCTCACGAGTTTCAGTTCAGGATTTAGAGTTTGAGTCGAGTTTGAAAATTTTAAGCTCACGAGTTTTCGAATTGAGTCGAACTTCATTTTAGAGTTTTCGAACCGACCTCAGCAATACTCGAGCTCGACTCGACTCGTTTACACCCTTAACCCCAATTCAGTTGACAAATTATTTTAACACACTTCTTTTTTCATATTTTATATAGTTTTTAAATAAAATAATAGAAAACATTATTTAAGAATCGAATATAGATATTATAGGTTCATATAAAATTGCTTATCACTCCACTAATGATGGATTATTTAGTGAAAGCCTTTTATAGATATATTTTTATAAATAAAGAATGAAAAATTAGTATTTATATTAATAATTGAAGTTTTAATTGAGTTTAGTGTTTGGTTAATTATTATATTTTAACTAATATTTATATAATCTTTAAATAAAAACTAAATCTTGCGTTTTAAAAATCAAAACGTCGTTTAATATAATATATAGTTATTATTTTACTTATGTTAATTGATGAATGAAATTTATAGATAATAGTTTTTAAATAAGTATTTTATTTTACTCATATTACAAAATTTAATATAATTTACGGTGAGCTTAAAATATAGTCATCAAAATTTTTGAGAAAATTTTTGAGAAAATTTGTTTTTGTCATTAAACTTTTAAAATTTATAATACTATTATTGAACTTATAATTTGCCATTAATCTTCCAATCATCTTTTTCTTTCATATGTGAATATTTTTTTTATCAATGAAGTTAGTTCAAGTGCTAAGCATTTTAATATCGCTTAAGCAAGGTATCAGGTAGAGTCCTTGTGTATACAGAAAATTCTCGCTCGGAGACTCACCCACCAAAATCAGGTGTGTAAACCAGATCGATCAAGATTAATTAAGATAAGGCTTTGGAACCGGAGGGCAGCAAAAAATATTTTTCTTAATTAGAGCATTGTATTACTCATAAAAAAAATAGAGCATTGGAAGTACAGATATTTCTTAATAAAACTTTGGAAGTACAAAAATTAAGCATAACTTATTATTTTCAGAGCAAATGGAGAGAGACTTGGATATCGTCTTCCTCTTATTTACGACATTCGCAAATTTGCATTATGCAAAGAGAAACTCCCATCGAACAATTTTCATAACAACATATTTCTTATTAAAACATTCAAACTTGGACACAAACACACCCCAAAAACATGAACACAAATGATAACTAAACAAAAACAAAAGAAATAATCAAATCACCATTCAACACACGAGTTTTTTCTCTTTCTTTTACACACATCTAGCAAGGGAAAGATTTCCCCAAGTTGCACTTCCCGGGAAGGCCTTTAGCTCGAGTGAAATCGACTCCATACTTCGTCATCCACTGGGAGTTCTTGAAGAAACAAAGGCATTTGAAGTCGGCATTGTCTAAAGCCTTGCAACACGCGGCCGAAGGCGGCGGGGGGCTCGGATCTGCGGTGTTCACGCTCGGCCGGCATTCCTCGAAATCCCCTTTGCTCATATCACAAACTTTCTGACCATTAGAGACTATGGGACCGGACCCAAAGGCTAATGCCACTAGCACCATTGTCACAACCATAAGCTTAGCATGCCCCTCCATATCTTTGATCTCAAACAAAACACACTTCTAATTACTTGAAATGACTGGTGAGAGAAACATAGGGTTGATCCCTTTTTATAGAAAACTAGGACGTGTGAGAGTTGGCATCGGCTGCCTTGGAATCAAACTTTGCAAATTAAAAATCTTCGCCCCAGGGAAGATGCAAAATTTTATGCTAGGGAGACGAAATTATAAGGGGAGCGGACTTCAACTTATAGGGCGAAAATAGATTTTCAATAGAATATATATAGAAAAATTCTAAAATATATGTTAATTTCAAATTTTCAGGGGCGACTATCCCTTAGGTCTATCCCTAATCACACTATTTCTTTAAATGCTATTTAAAAATACATGAATGTACGAATCAAACGACCTCGGTAGTACAAGAATTGTTATTTTTTGATATCTTGAGTTGAGCACTAAGAATGCTAGAAGTATGAGTGTTCAAAATCAAATGGTAAAAGAGTTATTTTAAATTTATACTACCTATACGTAACCCTTAGAAAATACTTATGTGAATAATTATTAAACCTTCAAAGATATTTCAATGTAAAACATCTCTGCCTATCATAGTTTTCGAAAGAATCATTTCATTAATTGAAGCCTTAGATCCATATCCCAATCAATCACAATCCTTTGATAGGATTATTGAGCCTATGAGATTTACTAAATCTAAATATATTTCTAACAATTGTATTTATTGCTTGCTCTATACATACGAATCGTAATCATGATCTTAAGTATGAAACTTACACATCAACATAAACCCTCGAGAGATCAAATCTTATGAACTATTCATCTTCTTCATTACACTTTTTCCCAACCAATCCTCTTGACTCGACCGTCGGTAGAAATATAATTTTGACTATCTGTTTAAATCAGAAGGAAAGAATCGTTTACGACCAACATTTTACACATTGTTATTATCAACATATATGTTTTTTTTAAAAAAATTTATTTATAAAGTAAAAACATTTAATTGTCATGTCTGCATATATATTGTGGGATTGATTATTTAGGGGAATAGGGATGGAATATTAGGAGTTGGCAAATTGGCGTACTATGGATCACGGGCAAACATTGGGGGTGCAAAATGTCTGGGAATTTTTATTGAATAAATTTTCATGCGGTAGCATGTGATTCCAAATAGCAAGCAATTAACAATGGCGATTGTTGCTTTAAATATGGGTTTGGATATACGTAGACCATACTTACTGCATGACAGGGAAGGCTACAGCTCGAGTCACGGGAGCTGCTATTTTTTGGTCAATTTTTTAACTTTAATTCTGTATTATTTAAAATTTATTATTAATAAAATATGAAAAAAATGTATTTTAAAAACCTTCCATTAAGTAGTTTTGAAATATATATTTTATAAAATTTAATTTTTATTGCTTTTTTTTTTCACCCTTAAATATTTAAAAAGTTAAAAAAATTAAGCATTTATTTGAAAATTTATGTGGTACTTTCGACCTATTTAAAGTTGACATTCTATAAAAAAATGAAAAAAATATAAATTAAAAGCTAAAGTTCTTATGTTCCTCTCAACAAACCCTAAGTTCTAATTTTTTGTTGTCGTCGCCAATTTCATCGGTGAAACTCAACCGCCAATTCTTTTATTGGCAAGACTTCAATCCAAAAATATTGATTAGATATCAATTTCTAATCTCAAAGTCTTTTCAAATAATTGTTTTTGGGTGATTTTGAAATATAGTTTTGTAATGACAAATTTCTGAATAAACCAACGAGAGTTATGTGGACTGATTTAAGAGCATAATTAAATTTGTAAGGTAGGTTTGGACCCAACTAACAGGGAATTGGACTTGTTTAGACCTTGAAATAACCCTTTGAGAAAAAAATCATGATCGATTTCTTCAAAAATAGGGTAATATGTTATTAGAGAATGGTAATTTGGGGACATGATGGGCGGGCAGACTATATAACCAAAAGTTGTGGTTTTATTTTTCCAAAGTAAAGGTAAACGATCATGTGCGATAGTCTTAATATACGACTAAAAAGTGTTTTCGGTTTTGTATTATTTAAATAATAAAACCGGTAAAAAATTGTTTAGACAAAATTGTTAATATGAGATAAAATAAATATAATAATAATATATTATTATATGATCGAACGAAGAAAAATAATAAAACTTAAAGTAGATGCAAGAAATTGGTTTACTCATATTTAGACAATGAATCAGATGAGTAGAGTAAGATAAACCGAAGAAGGATTTTTGTTAAGGCCTGGATGAATAGTTTCCTTAAGACAGATTCGTCATCTCCTCGGTGCTTTGAGTAACGTTAGACGTCGTCTCCTAAGATACAACAACAAACGATCATAACAGTAAGCATAACCGTAGTGATCAGTCGAACACAATCTTGCCTTTCTCTATCACCGGAAAGAACGAATTGAAAGGAATTTCTAAGTGATTTTCTAATTCAACTTTGTGAATTGTTCAAAGTTGTCTCTCAAAGTTGTTTCTAAGATTGTGCCTCAACTAACCTATATATAGGGGAGAGGAAATTAATCAAAGGTTATGACCTTTTGATTGATGAAGAGATTTGTTGAAAAAGCTAATAGGTAATTGAATGATGCAATTTTATACAAAATATAATTCTGTCACCAAGTGACATAATTATTATTAAAATACATCAATTTATTCAATTATTTAATTTTCCAACAATCCCTCACAAGAATGAAATTGATGATTTCAAACACTGACTCGATATGGTGATAGATTATACGTTCGATATTTGCATAGGATAGGTAGGCGTCCTCCTTTGAACCTTCCCTTGTGAAATAGTTTACCTTACTGGGTCCAGTAGATGTGATTCCTTGAACTGTCCTTTTGTTGTGTAAGCGATGACATACCTCACACAATATCTCACTGACAAGAATTTGGTTCATGGTTATGTCCATATAGCGTGGACATCTCCTGGTTCTGCAAGAGTTTAGAGAACTATGGCCCAATAGTCTCTTTGAAGCGGCTCCACTTCACTCTCACATAGGTGACTTATGTTTCGGCTCACCGAAACATAGTGGTCATTAAAGCATTGCTTAACCTTTTCCACATTTTAGTCACTGTTTTCATCATAGGAATGGACTTGGGGATAAGAACCCCCACAGTGACCTCACAAGGTCTATGCAAGTAGGTGTCCCATTGAACGTAGATCTTGGGATCTCTAGTCAACTAAGTTGGGTTTTCCTTCACATAGCGTCTTATATTAATGGGCTTTTAGTCACATTCTTTCGAAGTTTATCAACTTGATCTCGATTCAATTCATTGTTTGGCGGGATCCATAATGTTATCTTTTGATCTTACAAAATCATATAGATAACTCTAGTTGAGATCAATTATTTAATGACATTATATCGACGCCGTATAGTCTCGACTTACCATTATACTTATACAAGGTACCCCACACTTTGATGTAGTTGTAGGAAATTTTATACATTTCCATAACTCACACGATGTCTCACCTATTTTCTTGTAAGTTACCTTATTTGCAATAAAATAGCTTCCTCCACATGTTTTGTGACAACTCAGAACATGACCAAATCATTCATAATTCTTTAGCAATCTTATGGACACAATACACTTCATACGATGTATCTGACAATCCATTCAAGATGTAATTCCGACATAGAAACTTAGAATGTTTTCAAGCTTTAATGACGACAATGTCTATCTCATCCTCTCTATGAATAGGAGGATCATATTTGACCATATTCACATGAATATAACATCTTATGTCGCTATGTCTTGAAATTATCATGAATTTCACATGCTTCTTGTTGTGGCTCACAACCACTGACATTGTTGAATTTTATTCAAATTCTGAATAGGAATCAACATTTCAAATCACGAGTTGGGTGAATCAGTGGAGTTACCATTGTTTCGTTTAAAACACGTAACCATAATTTGTAAATATCCAACATAAATTGAAAGTTAATTCAATTTATTTACCATTCGTTTCTGTTGAAAAAAAAAATTAATTAGAAATTAAAATTCTAAAACAAAATTTGTAACAATTTTGTAATCCAAACGATTTCTGTTATCAATAGTAAATCAAATAAATTTTGTTGAACAACAGGATTAAAATCCTGAAACATAATTATAGGCTCGATTTTTTTTCACATAATTGTGTTCGGTACCTTATTTATCGCAACGAATTTTAGTCAAAACTAAAATCCAACAATTGAGTAATTTATGTTAAACTACGGGAATTTAGTAAAACTAAAACTCGAAACAGAAATGTACAATCAACACTATTTTGTTGAATTCGTTAATTGTCAGGATTTAAAACTAAAATCCAAAATAAAACCAACTTATGTTGGAAACGGGATTAAAACCCAAAACAGAACCAATTTTGTTGAACGACGAGAATTAATAAATTAAATCTCGAAACAAAACTGACTTCTGTGAACAGTGAGAATTTAATAAAACCGAGAACAGTAGTATAATCTCAATGTATAAATATTAACAAGAAATATTGAATGGCACACATACCTTTTGATTTCTGATTATATTATAAATTCGTTGCCAACCATCTCGAACCATCAATGTGTCGAAACAAAACTGACTTCTGTGAACAGTGAGAATTTAATAAAACCGAGAACAGTAGTATAATCTCAATGTATAAATTATACAAGAAATATTGAATGGTCACACATACCTTTTTGATTTCTTGATTAATATTATAAATTCGTTGCCAACCAATCTCGAACCATCAATATGTGGGTTCAAGGTGTGCCTCCATAAAGGACAAAGGTGTGCTCCGATGCAGTTCAAGTTGTGCAATATAGGGTGCAACCACAAAATACAAAACTTGGTGGACAACAAATCATTGTGTTCCACACCAAGTTTCTAACAATCATTTGATAGAATAATTTCTATCTTTGATCGAAATTCACTAAGTCACCATTAGTTAAGAGAAAATTCATGCGGTGACCGAATATTATATGGCACTTGCATCACTGTGTTCAAAGTTAATGCTTTGTTCCATGACACCACAAGTTTCACTCTTAGATTTCCAAGATTTGTTCCAACGATGGTTGCTACATTGTTCACTTGGCGAAATATGGGAAAATAGAGGATTTGTTCGAACGACATTCAAATAGTTTCAAACAGTTCCGAATCAATTGAAATTTTATTGATAGAAACCATATCACCATATTTAAAAGGACTTCATTTTTCTCGCAGCCGTAACTTATCACGTGTGAGAAAAGGGCCATCAATGACAAGGTGAGCATGAACAAGAGATGATCAAGAAGCTATGTAAAGCTTTAGAAATGAATGAATATTGAATCTATTAACATATGCATAATACTGATAACAGAAGGTGTATTATTTGCAATACATCAGCTGGCATTATATACACACTTGCACAGCTAACAAAGCTGTAACTGCTCAGCAGTTCTAACTGCCTTAACAACTTGAAACTAACAGCCTAACAGATTACTAACACTGTCAACTGCCTCACGCATTCATTCATACTCTCATCACACTTAACATACACTAATAGTCTAATATTCTCTCTGCTTTCTCAACCTTCTTGATAAAAAAAAGATGAACACTTGAATCGAAAGTGCAACACCTTCTTCCGTTCATCTTGAATCAAAAGTGCCGATGCTTCTTTCCGTTCGACTTGAATAGGAAGTGCCGATGCTTCCTTCCGTTCGACTTGAATCGAAAGTGATGTTGTTTCCTTCCGTTCGACTTGAATCGGAAGTGCCTATGAAATCACAAACGTCTAATTTATCTTTAGACTTAGATTCGTCGAATGAGATCACGGAGGAACTCCAAATATCATCTTCTTTGAAATCAATACTCTCTTCATTAACAGGGACATCATTATATCCGTAAGCTGTCATGTTATTTTGACCACCAGTCATGGACTCTACATCAGAATCCCGATAAAGATGGTTGAACGGATTTTGTAAGTATATTATATCAAAATCTGATAAAAGGACACTATAACCCAGTTGCAAAAACTCCCTTAAGATGTGGAACTTCAACCCAGAGACATCATGATTGCCTCTTGTTCTCCCAACGACATCAATACCTGCATCCGGATCCCTCTTGTACACTGGGACATCATTTGATTTGCAGAATTCTTCAACATTGTCATCTAAAGCTATAACTAGGTAATTCGGTATACCAACTCTCTTGATGCTAGAAACTTGAACCTCCAACATCTCTTTCACATTTGAATTTGCAAGCACAACTATAATCTCTTTCTGAACAACAACTTTCTCCAAGATCACAGTCAATCTTGGGTTCACAGATTCATCAGGGACAACAGTCGGGTTAGTCCGCAAAGCTTTGACAGTACCACAAGGTCCAGCTTTATGCTGCTCACCCAAAACCAGAAATTGCTTTTGGGCATTATCTTTTCCTTGTTCGGCCAGTTGCAACTTCTCCTTCATATTCCTGACCTGCTTCTTTAATTCAGAATTCTTCTCTAATAGTGATACGATTTCAGACTTCAGCATCTTACTCCTCTCCGAGGATTCACACGACGAAGAACCAATCTGGAAACTTGATTTGCCAATTTGATGGTTTTGAACGGAGGCAGTGGGATTGATGAGGCCGTGAGGGAAAAAGAAAGCGATGAGACAGCAAAGAAGAACTCCGATCACAATGGCTATGGCGATTCGAGATCCACGAAATGACTGCGTTTTGTCCCTGCGATGAAGTCTACAGTAGCTACAGCTTGAGAAAAAAAAAGAACTCAATCGTCGGCGCAACAATAGAAGAGTAAACGACGCCAAGATCTTTTAGCGAATGATACCATGTGAGAAAGGGGCCATCAATGGCAAGGTGAGCATGAACAAGAGATGAGCATGAAGCTATGTAAAGCTTTAGAAATGAATGAATATTGAATCTATTAACATATGCAGAATACTGATAACAGAAGGTGTATTATTTGCAATACATCAGCTGGCATTATGTACACACTTGCACAGCTAACAAAGGCATTATGTACACACTTGCACAGCTAACAAAGCTGTCTGCTCAGCAGTTCTAACCGCCTTAACAACTTGAAACAAACAGCCTAACAGATTACTAACACTGTCAACTGCCTCCGCATTCATTCACTCTCTTGAAACAGATTACTTAACATACACTAATAGTCTAATATCACGGTAGAACGAGGTTGTGTCCAATATGTCAACCTCGCTTGAAACAGGTTTTGTATTCAACATGCCTTGAATCCATTGATCGAAGGATGCACCAAGGATTATATAAATTCAACATCCATAAAAGTTGGTGGACTCCAAACCTGTGAAGATTTTGGAACTTTTAATCTGCAAATAGATTTTAAAATTGATGGGATCTTCCTTGGCATTGGAATCTTCTTCGTATGCATTGCCATAGTACAACAATATTTTTCCTCCAAAACATCACAATAAATTACTTTTGGAATCAATAGAGAATTTCACTTGGCGTGAATTCCTCGTAATTTTCTGCAAATAACTCTTGGAACCTGCGAATGCATTCAACTTGCAAATTGAAAATAGCGTACATCCTTTGTTTGCCGTTGTTTGATGCTTCATTCGTACATATTCGTATGATTGAACTCAAATAATCAATTTCTTCTCAGGTTAAAAAATAAAAATAATGTCTTAGATTGTTAGACAAAATTGTTAATCCGAAAAGAAAAAAAATAATAATATATTATTATATGATCGAACGAAGTAAATAAATAAAACTTAAAGTAGAGGCAAGAAATTGGTTTACTCATATTTAGACAATGAATCAGATGAGAGTAAGATAAACCGAAGAAGGATTTTTGTTTGAGGCCTGTATGAACAGTTCCTTAAGACAGATTCGTCCTCTCCTCTGTGCTTTGAGTAACGTGGAAGTCGGTCTCCTAGGATACAACAACAAACGATCATAACAATAAGCACAACCGTAGCGATCAGTCGAACACAATCTTGCCTTTCTCTATCACCGGAAAGAACGAATTTGAAAGAATTTTTCTAAGTGATTTCCTAATTCAACTTTGTGAATTGTGTCTCAAAGTTGTCTCTCAAAGTTGTTTCTAAGATTGTGCCTCAACTAACCTATATATAGAGGAGAGGAAATTAATCAAAAGGTTATTACCTTTTGATGAAGAGATTTGTTGAAAAGCTAATAGATATAATTGAATTGATGTAATTTTATACCAAATAATAATTCTGTTCACCAAGTGACATAACTTATTATTAAAATATTAATTTATTCAATTATTTATTAAAATTTTCAACAAAAACTACTGAAAATATTTTTATTTTTACTGATTTTGTTATTATTGGACATTTTAACGCTATCGATTTTGTTATTGTTAGGCACTTTACCGAAAATGTTAAAAAACATTGATATTTTAGATAATTTTTTTATCGGTTTTGTTATTTAAGTAATAACAAAATCGATAATATTTTTTAGTTGTATATTAAAGATGTCGCAGTGTAGAAATTCCCCCAAAGAAAAAGACTTGAAACACACCCCATCACCTTCAATCTTTGGAGCTTAAGCGTACTATCTCCCTACACGATCTCCTATTGTCCCCCCCCCCCCCCCCCCCCCCAAAGAAGAAAGAAGAAGAAAACTCGGAAAATCAAAGCTTTAATTAATTTTGGTACCTTCTCATGTAGGCTTTTAGCCATGGGAAAGCTCATCACTTTCTTTACCAACACTTGCTTGGCGCGTTACAACTGTAAAAAAAGAATTAGATGAGGTTTTTCTAGAGATAGAAAGAGAGAATGAACATACATTGCTTCCCGCGTTTTCCATGCCCTTAATCCCATGCGTGCAAGCCATTCCCGAATCTCTTTCAATGTAATTCTCTTGGTGTTCTTTTTATTCAACGGCTTTAAGTTTGTTTTTAAGCTTATTCTTCCATTCACCTTTCTCCCTCATTTTATTTCTCCTTAATGTTTCTCTTCTGATAAAGAGTCAAAAATTTCAATACCCTTTCATCAGTCGTATTTTTTTTTCAATCTGGATTTTCAATATTCTCTTTTCTGGGCATTTTTCCTTCAAATTTGGTGGTGTTGATTGGATTTCATGGTCATAATATGTTTTGTTCATAATGGCTCTGTGAGATCAGAAAAAGAAAAAAAAGGCCTTTTTTTTCTTTTTCGTTTTTTACTTATGTCAAAACACAGAAACATCATGTCAAATCAACATCACACCAAATCAAATTGGAAAGGAACTGCAGACAAGGAGTTGCAGACATTCGACACCAATGTCCAAGATCGAACCAATCATGTCATCAACACACTAGCAATGGGCGTCGAAGTTCGAGCCCTTTCATTCGATTCACTCAAAGAGGTAACCGGTTGTCTTTTAGAGATGAACCCAGAGGTTGTTAGACTTATCTTGGAATGCAAGAAAGATATATGGAAGAACCAAGAATTGTTCAAGCTCGTCGAAGAGTACTTCGAGAACAGCTTGCAGACACTTGATTTTTGCTCTGCTTTAGAGAAATGCCTGATGTGTGCCCGAGACAGCCAATTACTGATTAATGGCTCTGCAACAGTTTGAGGAAGAAAGCGAGGTTGGAGGGAGCAAATACGTTAGGACATTGGAAGAACTGAGGAATTTCAAGGTGGCCGGGGACCCCTTCACTGAGGAGTTCTTTCACATCTTCCAATCTGTTTACAGGCAGCAAATGGCAATGCTGGAGAAATTGCAGTTGAGGAAGAACAAGCTCGACAATAAGTTTAAGTACATTCATTCATGGCGTAAGGTGTCGAGTATGATATTCATTGCTACATTTGCTGCCGTGTTGATTTGTTCGGTCGTAGCAACCGCAATAGCGGCACCTCTGATTGCCGCCGCCCTAGCAGCTGCAACATCGATCCCGTTGGGTTTGATGGAGAAATGGATTGATTCTATGTGGAGAAACTATGAAAATGCATTGAAAGGACAAAAGGACAAAAAGCAGGCACATATGTGACAATTAAAGACTTGGATAACATCCGGGTTCTCCTCGATCGATTGGAAATCGAGATCGAAGCCCTGTGCAGAATGCAGATTTCGCAATAGAGCAAGAAGCAGTGAAGATAGGGATAGAGGAGATCAAAAAGAAGCTTGGGGTGTTTATGAAGAACGTATAGGATTTAGGGCAACAAGCTGATATTTGTAGCCGGGATATTAGGAGAGCAAGGACTATTGTTCTTCAAAGGATCATAAAACATCCCAACCACTGAAATCATTTGATTCCTGGGAATTTGACCTGCTTCAAGCTAATGCTGACAAATCTTGACAAGTGCGAAAATAAAATGATTATATTCAGTTGATTAATATCCTGTTTTGGGACACTAGTTTGTTTCCTCAGGTCATTGTTCTACTGAAGAGTATAGTATTTATTTCATTCCTTTTTCTACGTATTTTTAGGTCAGATATTGTTATTTCCCGTTTGGAAAATGTTCCATTGATTGTATGTAAATTATTTATCAAAGTTTTTACCCCTACCAAATTTGCAAACAAAGAAAGAAAAGGACCTCAGCATGTGCACAACTTTGTTGCATTTTCTCAAGAGATTTCATACGGTCATTGGAAGTTCGAGCCTTAGATTCTACTTACAGTACATAAAGCCCTACAACAACATTGATATCTGAATATAGAACATACCTGAGATTTTAATGGGATGGATTCTCCGACATGACTCGTTTCTCATGTAGTATAACCACGTGGCATGGGCTATTTAGGCTCCCAACACAAACATCCACATTCAGGTGCTGCTGGAATCTGGCAAGCACTTCTCGATGCAGCTTATGAATGAATAGCTATCAAGTTTGCATGATAAAAAGAAATTGGAAGAAAAGCTTGGTTTAAACACAAGTTTTGACGAAGTTTAAGATTGGTTCTGGACGGATGTTGAAATAAGTGGCAGAAACCATATAGGAACAAGATAAGGATACGAAAATCTTAAACCAAATGGATGAGAAAAAGGTTAAAAATGTGCATCCACCAGTCAAGATGAGCATCAGCATAACGGTTACGAGACACTTGAATGTAGAGAGGTCTGCTTCTGTTCCATGTGGAGGGAAATAACCTTCAGACTTGAAATTAGAAAGCAATCGATCCTTAAGTTGGAACGTATCCATTAACCAAGCAGTTACTTCCCCTTCAGACATCGGGACATCATCCAAGGCAATGCGTCTGATGTGCATATGAACTTCAGAAGGGTCAACCCCAAAGACATTGTCCAAGAAGGATGGACAGCGATGCTTATATCCAATGGTCACATCGTAAACTGCAAACAAATAAGTCATGGAAATCTGTGAGACCAAACAAGACAAGTTCAACTCTTTCCACACTGTGAAAGGTTATCACCCTTCTCTAAACCATGTGACATTTAGCTAATTACAGCTAGGAAGTACAGGGAGAAAGAGAAACTAGTCATCTTTATAAAATCATAATTCTGTGAGACACAGGTCTCTTATGCTATATTGACGAGAAAGCTTATTGGTTACTCCAGGGAAAAAATAGATACAGTAACATATCCGTTACCAGTGTCAAAGATTGCCCTACAACTACCTACCACAATATGTGCTAGAAGGGTCTTATCATAAATAATCTTCTGTCAATGATATATCAATGTGTAAAAGGTTAAGAGACAAATCCACAGGCAACCAATAAATATAAAGAAGAAAAACAACCTGCATCCAAAGTGCTCCTCAAATCTTCCAAGCAGGCATTAAAACCCTTTGATTTTGGAAGCAGCAAATTCTTTAGGATGGGCAAGCCATTTTCAGCTGCATATTTTTGACTTCTTAAGCATTTCTGATCACTGTAAGAAAATCATAATTGATGGATTAGTGCACTGGAAGCACATCAACAAATAACTCAACGCAAACTAATATAAAAAATCACAGAGAATTCCACAAGCAGGAAACCAGTGATAAAATTTCTCCATGTACCGTCCTGTTCACATAAAACATATCAAAATAAAAGAGACAATAAAGGGTATAAGACAGCTAAAAGAAAAGTAAAATACGTGAAATCTGTTCCTTCAGGAAAGATAACAAGCCAAAGGGGATCTCTAGGATCTTTGAATTTTGAAAGCATCTGGCGCATGTTTGCCTCATCAACCTCCCACTTC